TGGGGTAATGTTCACATCTATCTTAACAGTGCTGGGCTAAAATCTTAACTTTAGTCATTTACACCTTACAAATCAGTAGAGGAAATTTAATGAAGTCCCTAACATGTAAGTATAGAGCTATTGGATTGATTTATCTCTCAGTGTATTCAACCCTTTCACCCCTAAGTAACTTTAGTAGACTCTACCATGAATGTATTGAGGATGAGTTAATTATGGTCCACAGTGGTGAAAGGGTTTTAAACCATTTAATTTTTGATGAATTGTGATTTTGCTTAAACATCATGATGTTGAAGCTTACGATGCCCTTATAATGTGTATGGAAATGATGATTGATTTACAATAAAGATAGTTAACATTGGCTTGAATATGTTCCACTTTTTTATAACCAAAGAATGAAGATGCATACATTTTACTATTAAATATTTATCTTAAATGGTTAATACCAGTTTATACAATATATTAATTTCCCTTGAACCAAAACTATTCCTTTTACATTTACATTACACAAGTAAACTTCTTTGGTGTCAGTCCCTTTTCAGAACAGCTCAGTCAGTCCAAAGTGTATATGATGATCCTCACCCGGCCCCTCAGCCCCCTGGGTAATCAGCCCTGAGTATGGATAATGATCCCTACCCAGCCCCTTGGCCCCCTGGGTAATCAGCCTATATGATGATCCTCACCCAGCCCCCTGTGTAATCAGCCCTGAGTAGAGATAATGATCCTTACCCAGCCCCTCAGCCCCCTGGGTAATCAGCCAAAAATATATATTATGATCCTCACCCAGCCCCTCATCCCCCTGGGTAATCAGCACTGAGTATGGATAATGATCCTCCCCCAGCCCCTCGCCCCCTGGGTAATCAGCCCTGAGTAGAGATAATGATCCTCACCCAGCCCCTCAGCCCCTCAGCCCCCTGGGTAATCAGCCCTGGGTATTGATAATGATCCTCACCCAGCCCCTCAGTCATCTGGGTAATCAGCCCTGAGTAGAGATAATGATCTCACCCAGCCCCTCAGCCCCCTGGGTAATCAGCACTGAGTATGGATAGTGATCCTTCCCCAGCCCCTCAGCCCCCTGGGTAATCAGCCCTGGGTATTGATAATGATCCTCACCCAGCCCCTCAGCCCCCTGGGTAATCAGCCCTGAGTATTGATAATGATCCTCACCCAGCCCCTGTGTAATCAGCCCTGAGTAGAGATAATGATCTCACCCAGCCCCTCAGCCCCCTGGGTAATCAGCCCTGAGTATGGATAGTGATCCTTACCCAGCCCCTCAGCTCCGTGGGTAATCAGCCCTGAGTAGAGATAATGAGCCGCACCCAGTCCCTCGGCCCCCTGGGTAATCAGCCCTGAGTATGGATAATGATCCTTACCCAGCCCCTCAGCCCCCTGGGTAATCAGCCCTGAGTATGGATAGTGATCCTTACCCAGCCCCTGGGCCCCCTGGGTAATCAGCCAAAAGTATATATTATGATCCTCACCCAGCCCCTCAGCCCCCTGGGTAATCAGCCCTGAGTAGAGATAATGATCCTCACCCAGTCCCTCGGCCCCCTGGGTAATCAGCCCAAAGTATAGATAATGATCCTCACCCAGCCCCTCATCCCCCTGGGTAATCAGCACTGAGTATGGATAGTGATCCTTACCCAGCCCCCCAGCTCCCTGGGTAATCAGCCCTGAGTAGAGATAATGATCCTTCCCCAGCCCCTCAGCCCCCTGGGTAATCAGCCCTGAGTAGAGATAATGATCCTTACGCAGCCCCTCAGCCCCCTGGGTAATCAGCCCTGCGTAGAGATAATGATCCTCACCCAGCCCCTCGGCCCCCTGGGTAATCAGCCCTGAGTATATATAATGATCCTCCCCCAGCCCCTCAGCCCCCTGTGTAATCAGCCCTGAGTAGAGATAATGATCCTTACGCAGCCCCTCAGCCCCCTGGGTAATCAGCCCTGAGTAGAGATAATGAGCCTCACTCAGCCCCCTGTGTAATCAGCCCCGAGTAGAGATAATGATCCTCCCCCAGCCCCTCAGCCCCCTGGGTAATCAGCCCTGAGTAGAGGTAATGATCCTTACCCAGCCCCTCAGCCCCCTGGGGAATCAGCCCTGAGTATTGATAATGATCCTCCCCCAGCCCCCTGTGTAATCAGCCCTGAGTAGAGATAATGATCCTTCCCCAGCCCCTCAGCCCCCTGGGTAATCAGACCTGAGTAGAGATAATGATCCTCACCCAGCCCCCTGTGTAATCAGACCTGAGTAGAGATAATGATCCTCACCCAGGCCCTCAGCCCCCTGGGTAATCAGCCCTGAGTATGGATAATGATCCTTACCCAGCCCCTCAGCCCCCTGGGTAATCATCCCTGAGTATGGATAGTGATCCTTACCCAGCCCCTCAGCCCCCTGGGTAATCAGCCCTGAGTATGGATAATGAGCCTCACTCCAGGTTGATGCTTTATCAAATATAAGGAACAGTTGCTAAGTAGTCAACATTATGATTGTTCATGACTTTGAAATCAGCGACTCCTTATAGGCCTCACCCCTCAGCCCCTTCTTGAGTATAAGTCATGATCCTCAGTATCATGTCAAAATCAACCAGCAAGTTTCATCAAAGATGTTTTTTGAAGACTTTGCACATAGTGACCCCATATGACCCCAGCCCCAGCCCCAGCCCCAGCCCAATAAGGAGTCAGGCACTTTTTGAGTAGAAATTCTGATCCTTATTAGCTAAAGATAATTTCATAAAATGTTAGTCAAAATCCACTTTTAAGTTTCAGTGAGAAGTTGAAAATAAGATTATTTATGGTTCTGAACTCAGTGACCCCATATGAACCCACCCCTCAGCCACCTAAGCTGTCAGCTCCTTCTTGAGTTTAAATGTTGATCTTCATCATCTAAGGATCGATCACTTCATGAAATGTTGGTCAGAATCCATGGTGATGTTTCAGAGGAGATGTTTTTTGAAGATTTTACACTTAATGACCCTTTATAGCACTATCCCCCAGCTCCCTTGGGTGTCAGCCCCTTCTTGATTATACATTCTGATCCTCATCCAAGGCTGATGATTATCACAAAGTTTCATCAAAATCTGATCGATGGTTTCTGAGGAAAAGTCAAAAATGTAATGTTTAAACACAACAGATGAGACATGACGATGGACGAAAGGTGATGACAATAGCCATTGAGCGAAATCACTGAAAAGTTGATGCCGGCTGCCATGCCACGCCACGCCACACCACGCCACGCCACGCCACACCACGCCACGCCACAAGCTTACTTAGCCGTTTGAGTCAGATGAGCTAATAATTCTGTCCCAGATTAATGGGAACCAAGTATCTATGAAAACAGGTTAACTGCATTATTAAAATATATAAAAACACTGCTACAAAGCACTCAGACAATGGAACCAGAGTTACTGAAGTCTGTTATTTGTTTTCTGTTTCAGTTTACATACTTACATAGTCTACACAGAGAGGTCCTTCAAACTGGGGTGACCAGATCACATTCACAATCTGAAAAAATAATATGACATAAAACAAATTATTTTTATTTACACAACTTAAACGTTTGTAAGAAATATTGCAAACAATAGTACAGAAGTTGTATTGTTCACCGAGTTCAATTATGGCAAAATATTCTCATCAAATATTTCCCAATTTTGGCTGTTTATGCTTTACATGTCTTGAGCCTTAACACCCTATTGGACCCATTTTGTACCGTGCCCTCTGGAGAATTAAATTTTTCCTTTGCAAACAATTGATTCCTAGGTCAAAGGGACCAAAGATGCTTTATAGGATATGTACATGCTTATATGGAAGTACTTCCAACTGTTTCCCTGATTGATCTACAGGCTAGTCCCATCGGTTAGGCTGAACTACTGTTTCCCTGATCAATCTACAGGCTGGTCCCATTGGTTAGGCTGGAATACTGTTTCCCTGATCGATCTACAGGCTGGTCCCATCGGTAAGATTGGACTACTATTTCCCTGATCGATCTACAGGCTGGTCCCATCGGTTAGGCTGGACTAATGTTTCCCTGATCAATCTACAGGTTGGTACCATCAGATAGGCTGGACTACTGTTTCCCTGATCGATCTACATGCTGGTCCCATCGGTTAGGCTTTAATACTGTTTCCCTGATCGATCTACAGGCTAGTCCCATCGGTAAGATTGGACTACTATTTCCCTGATCGATCTACAGGCCGGTCCCATCGGTTAGGCTGGACTACTGTTTCCCTGCTCAATCTACAGGTTGGTCCCCTCCGTTAGGCTGGACTACTGTTTCCCTGATCAATCTACAGGTTGGTCCCATCGGTTAGGCTGGACTACTGTTTCCCTGATCGATCTACATGCTGGTCCCATCGGTTAGGCTTTAATACTGTTTCCCTGATCGATCTACAGGTTGGTCCCATCAGTTAGGCTGGACTACTGTTTCCCTGATCGATCTACAGGTTGGTCCCATCAGTTAGGCTGGACTACTGTTTCCCTGATTGATCTACAGGCTGGTCCTATCGGTAGGACTGGACTACTGTTTCCCTGATCCATCTACAGGCTGGTCCCATCGGTTAGGCTAGACTACTATTTCCCTGATCGATATACAGGCTGGGCCCATCGGTTAGGCTGGGATACTGTTTTCCTGATCAATCTACAGGCTGGGCCCATCGGTTAGGCTTGAATACTGTTTCCCTGATCGATCTACAGGTTGGTCCCATCAGTTAGGCTGGACTACTGTTTCCCTGATTGATCTACAGGCTGGTCCTATCGGTAGGACTGGACTACTGTTTCCCTGATCCATCTACAGGCTGGTCCCATCGGTTAGGGTGGAATACTGTTTCCCTGATCAATCTACAGGCTGGTCCTATCGGTAGGACTGGACTACTGTTTCCCTGATCAATCTGCAGGCTGGTCCCATCGGTTAGGCTGGAATACTTTTTCCCTGATCAATCTACAGGCTGGTCCTATCGGTAGGACTGGACTACTGTTTCCCTGATCAATCTACAGGCTGGTCCCATCGGTTAGGCTTGACTACTATTTCCCTGATCGATATACAGGCTGGTCCCATCAGTTAGGCTGGACTAATGTTTCCCTGATCAATCTACAGGCTGGTCCAATCGGTTAGGCTGGAATACTGTTTCCCTGATCGATCTACATGCTGGTCCCATCGGTTAGGCTTGACTACTGTTTCCCTGATCGATCTACAGGCTGGTCCCATTGGTTAGGCTGGAATACTGTTTCCCTGATCGATCTACAGGCTGGTCCAATTGGTTAGGCTGGACTACTGTTTCCCTGATCAATCTACAGGCTGGTCCAATTGGTTAGGCTGGACTACTGTTTCCCTGATCAATCTACAGGTTGGTCCCATCAGATAGGCTGGACTACTGTTTCCCTGATCAATCTACAGGCTGGTCCCATCGGTTAGGCTTGACTACTGTTTCCCTGATCGATCTACAGGTTGGTCCCATCGGTAAAGCTGGAATACTGTTTCCCTGATTGATCTACAGGCTGGTCCCATTGGTAAGGCTGGACTACTGTTTCCCTGATCAATCTACAGGTTGGTCCCATCGGATAGGCTGGAATACTGTTTCCCTGATCAATCTACAGGCTGGTCCCATCGGTTAGGCTGGACTACTGTTTCCCTGATCAATCTACATGCTGGTCCCATCGGATAGGCTATATTGGTCACCTTGATATTTAGGAGACACACACCAGACAAGGTACAATGTCAGAGGGCCTGTATTGGTAAAAAAAAATTGAACAAATTCCAAAGAACAGAACTTGCCATGTGCTTCTTTGAGTTGAAGAAAAAAGGAAGATTGAGGTGCGCGTGCATCCCACACGTTGTATGTCCATTTTGGACACTTGAGTAGTTACGCATTTGCGCGGGACATTTGAAACTTTCGTTCGGTAGTTAAAGAACAGTAGTTGGAGATCATTTGTATAATAATTGGACGTGGTAAGTATGGCTTTTGATATAAAATTTACATCGACAGTATTTCATAATTGAGTAACGGGTATTACTCGCGATATGCCACCATCATAGTCAAATATGCCACATGTTAGCAAAGACTAAGTTTATTTCTTGTAAACATGTACAAACACCAACTAAATAGGCCCTGACTCTGTAATAACAATAATAATAACAGTTTGAGGTTCTTATATACCGCTTTATCACATCCTAGTTTGTAGGTCGTCTCAAAGCAGTTCACAAATTATTATCCATGGTTATAGGGCCTTTATAACCAGCCAATATCTTTCTTGAACTCCCTGGGGAGTATGCAGCCGGTGCTACCATTTCGGCGCTCACAGCTAGCATTCAACAATTCTAGCACTGCCCAACCACGTACTCATTTACAGCTAAGTAGACTGGAACAAGTGGAGTAAAGTATCTTGCTTAAAGACACAACACAGTGCCATGACGTGACTCGAACCCGCAACTCTTCGGTCACAAGCCCGGCGTCCTACCACTAGACTAATGTGCCTCCTAAATAATACAATATCCAATCAGTGAAGAGCATGGAATGATCAAGTTGCATGGCTTAGAGAACAGATATATGTGTGTGTTGTCGGGATGCTGCTCTGTTTACAATTGGATTATATAATTGGGATCCCAGACTTGTTGAATGGATGTGCAGCCCATACATATGCCAAAGCAAACAGGTTAAACCAGCTGGTTGGTCCAACTTATTAGTCCGTAATCACAGTTTCACTCCACCCTCATATTCTTATACATAACAATGAGCTTCTGTCAATACTCCTGAAAAAATGTACTGCTTTGCGATTAAGTGCAAATTGAGGTTGAACATTGAATATTGATAGGTTAGCAAATATAAGAAAGACATATCTATGTAACATTCATCGCCAGATTTGCAAATATATCATAATAGGAGGTCTTTATCTGTTAAGATTTTTGCTGATGACAGCGCGAATTGTTGGAGCTAGTGACTGTAATTTAGTGTAATTCGAACAGGATAGACATTATTTATTTAGTTTTGTTTGATGTGACCATAGGTTTCCCTTTACCCGATCAACATTACCTCGCCCTTATGACTGAGATTAATGTGGGGTCGTTGATACTTCATCATAACAGGGTCAGCACGAGCAAAGTGAACTTTCTGGAATGTGGCTGGGACTTTAGTGAGAACGTCAAAGTCAGCTGGATGTTGTTTCCTGAAGCGCTCCGCCACTCCTATAACATTCAGCATCAGATTCTCACCTCCGATAACACAGTCATCAAACCTGAAACAAACAATATAGGCAACAGATTCTCACCTCCGATAACAGTCATCAAACCTGAAACAAACAATATAGGCAACAGATTCTCACCTCCGATAACAGTCATCAAACCTGAAACAAACAATATAGGCCTCAGATTCTCACCTCCGATAACACAGTCATCAAAGCTGAAACAAACAATATAGGCATCAGATTCTCACTTCCGATAACAATGTCATCAAACGTGAAACAAACAATATAGGCATCAGATTCTCACTTCCGATAACAATGTCATCAAACGTGAAACAAACAATATAGGCATCAGATTCTCACATCTGATAACACTGTCATCAAACCTGAAACAAACAATATAGGCAGCAGATTCTCACCTCCGATAACAGTCATCAAACCTGAAACAAACAATATAGGCATCAGGTTCTCACCTCCGATAACAGTCATCAAACCTGAAACAAACAATATAGGCAACAGATTCTCACCTCCGATAACAGTCATCAAACCTGAAACAAACAATATAGGCCTCAGATTCTCACCTCCGATAACACAGTCATCAGACCTGAAACAAACAATATAGGCATCAGATTCTCACCTCCGATAACAGTCATCAAACCTGAAACAAACAATATAGGCCTCAGATTCTCACCTCCGATAACACAGTCATCAGACCTGAAACAAACAATATAGGCATCAGATTCTCCCCTCCGATAACAGTCATCAAACCTGAAACAAACAATATAGGCATCAGGTTCTCACCTCCGATAACAGTCATCAAACCTGAAACAAACAATATAGGCAACAGATTCTCACCTCCGATAACAGTCATCAAACCTGAAACAAACAATATAGGCAACAGATTCTCACCTCCGATAACAGTCATCAAACCTGAAACAAACAATATAGGCCTCAGATTCTCACCTCCGATAACACAGTCATCAAAGCTGAAACAAACAATATAGGCATCAGATTCTCTCCTCCGATAACACAGTCATCAAACCTTAAACAAACAACATAGGCACAGATTCTCACCTCCGATAACAAAGTCATCAAACCTGAAACAAACAATATAGGCCTCAGATTCTCACCTCCGATAACACAGTCATCAAAGCTGAAACAAACAATATAGGCATCAGATTCTCCCCTCCGATAACACAGTCATCAACCCTGAAACAAACAATATAGGCATCAGATTCTCTCCTCCGATAACACAGTCATCAAACCTTAAACAGACAATATAGGCATCAGATTCTCACCTCCGATAACAGTCATCAAACCTGAAACAAACAATATAGGCCTCAGATTCTCACCTCCGATAACACAGTCATCAGACCTGAAACAAACAATATAGGCATCAGATTCTCACCTCCGATAACACAGTCATCAAACCTTAAACAAACAACATAGGCACAGATTCTCACCTCCGATAACACAGTCATCAAACCTGAAACAAACAACATAGGCACAGATTCTCACCTCCGATAACAATGTCATCAAACCTGAAACAAACAATATAGGCATCAGATTATCACCTCCGATAACACAGTCATCAAACCTGAAACAAACAATATAGGCATCAGATTCTCACCTCCGATAACACAGTCATTAAACCTGAAACAAACAATATAGGCACAGATTCTCACCTCCGATAACACTGTCATCAAACCTGAAACAAACAATATAGGCATCTAAACTTGTAACACAAAAACAAGCTGTTGAAAAGTTTAAACAAATTGAACGACACTTTATAACCTTTCATTCCACCATGCTACTGACAAAAAATCATTTCCTGGTGACTCTTGTTGAAGTTTTTGACAAACTTTATACCTATGACCTTGAAAGTAGGATGTCATTTTTTGCTTTGTCGGGCTCCATTCCAGGAAGCTCTTGGCCAAAAATCTTAACTCATTTCAGTTCTTCAGGAGCATTGTGTCGTTTAATGAAAAGGTTGATGGATGACAGACAATGGTTAACGGACACTGTGCGGGGCATCAGCTCACTTGCTACAGACAATGGTTAACGGACACTGTGCGTGGGCCTCAGCTCACTTGCTACAGACAATGGTTAACGGACACTGTGCAGGGAATCAGCTCACTTGCTACAGACAATGGTTAACGGACACTGTGCGGGGCATCAGCTCACTTGCTACAGACAATAGTTAACGGACACTGTGCGGGGCATCAGCTCACTTGCTACAGACAATGGTTAACGGACACTGTGCAGGGCATCAGCTCACTTGCTACAGACAATGGTTAACGGACACTGTGCAGGGCATCAGCTCACTTGCTACAGACAATGGTTAACGGACACTGTGCAGGGCATCAGCTCACTTGCTACAGACAATGGTTAACGGACACTGTGCAGGGCATCAGCTCACTTGCTACAGACAATGGTTAACGGACACTGTGCAGGGCATCAGCTCACTTGCTACAGACAATGGTTAACGGACACTGTGCGGGGCATCAGCTCACTTGCTACAGACAATGGTTAACGGACACTGTGCGGGGCATCAGCTCACTTGCTACAGACAATGGTTAACGGACACTGTGCGGGGCATCAGCTCACTTGCTACAGACAATGGTTAACGGACACTGTGCGGGGCATCAGCTCACTTGCTACAGACAATGGTTAACGGACACTGTGCGGGGCATCAGCTCACTTGCTACAGACAATGGTTAACGGACACTGTGCGGGGCATCAGCTCACTTGCTACAGACAATGGTTAACGGACACTGTGCGGGGCATCAGCTCACTTGCTACAGACAATGGTTAACGGACACTGTGCGGGGCATCAGCTCACTTGCTACAGACAATGGTTAACGGACACTGTGCGGGGCATCAGCCCACTTGCTACAGACAATGGTTAACGGACACTGTGCGGGGCATCAGCTCACTTGCTACAGACAATGGTTAACGGACACTGTGCGGGGCATCAGCCCACTTGCTACAGACAATGGTTAACGGACACTGTGCAGGGCATCAGCTCACTTGCTAGTTGTGAAGGTCATCAGTCATCAAACATGAAGTACCCAAAAACAGGAACAATCATCAAACCTCTAGTAGCCAGAAGTGATCAAGACATTTTCTGTCGATTTTATGAACTTGAAAACGATGTAGCTGAAACTTTAAAAGGCATGTCTAGGGAAAACGTGCGAAGATTAATGAAAATCTGCTAAGATGTATGGTTGTTAGAATGTGAACAATGACTCAGACAGTGAGACACTATAGGAATAATAACCTGATCTAAGATCAAAGTTATCCACACTGATCTTTTCCAAGTTATATTCCAGACAAACATCAATGTAAAGTTTCACAAAAATAAGTAAAGAAATACAACTGTGCTAGATAAGACAATGCTGTGACTGTGTAGTTCTGGGGTTTTAACCTCAACTTTTGACTGATCATGTGCATACAGATTTCATATATTCAAAAAAAGAGATTTCAAACACAAATGTACCTGTGAAATTTCGTAAAAATCTATCAAGAAATACAGCAGCCAGTGATGAGGAAGGAGTATTAACAGTAACCTAGACTACTGATAGATCACAGGAGTATTGACAATAACCTAGACTACTGATAGATCACAGGAGTATTAACAGTAACCTGGACTACTGATAGATCACAGGAGTATTACCAGTAACCTAGACTACTGATAGATCACAGGAGTATTAACAGTAACCTAGACTACTGATAGATCACAGGAGTATTAACAGTAACCTAGACTACTGATAGATCACAGCAGTATTAACAGAAACCTAGACTACTGATAGATCACAGGAGTATTAACAGTAACCTGGACTACTGACAGATCACAGGAGTATTAACAGTACCCTAGACTACTGATAGATCACAGGGGTATTAACATTAACCTAGACTACTGATAGATCTCAGGAGTATTAACAGTAACCTGGACTACTGATACATCACAGGAGTATTAACAGTACCCTAGACTATTGATAGATCACAGGGGTATTAACATTAACCTAGACTACTGATAGATCTCAGGCGTATTAACAGTAACCTAGACTACTGATAAATCACAGGAGAATTAACAGTAACCTAGACTACTGATAGATCACAGGAGTATTAACAGTAACCTAGACTATTGATAGATCACAGGGGTATTAACAGTAACCTAGACTACTGATAGATCACAGGAGTATTACCAGTAACCTAGACTACTGATAGACCACAGGCGTATTAACAGTAACCTAGACTAATGATAGATCACAGGAGTATCAACAGGAAGCTAGACTACTGATAGATCATAGGAGTATTAACAGTAACCTAGACTATTGATAGGTCACAGGGGTATTAACAGTATCCTAGACTACTGATAGATCATAGGAGTATTAACAGTAACCTGGACTACTGATAGATCACAGCAGTATTAACAGAAACCTAGACTACTGATAGATCATAGGAGTATTAACAGTAACCTAGACTAATGATAGATCACAGGAGTATTGACAATAACCTAGACTACTGATAGATCACAGGAGTATTAACAGTAACCTAGACTACTGATAAATCACACCCATATTCTAACTTATCCCCAAACAAACAAGACAAGTCTCATGTAAAACAGAAATATGACATGGACTTGTACAGACAGTCCGAACAAAACAAAATACCTCTTATATTATCAAGATCCTTTTAGAAATAAGGGCTCTAGAATGATGAAGGAGATTTTCTATAAATAGCAATGCTGACCTTGACCTTGATACCCTGAAACATTTATTTATTCGAGGTATTCTCATGTTTGACCAATTTATGAAGTTTTATCCAAACATGTGTAGGAATGAAGTCCCTAGAGCAATGACCAACATAAAAAGTATATATATAGTACGGTGACCTTGACCTTGACCTTGACCTTAGCCCACTCAAACACGAACTTGTTTGGGGTATTGTCATGCTTAACCAATATATTTCAGAGAGGAAGTTGCTAAAGCAATGTCAATGTACCAATGACTGGAATGTTCTGTTTTCCTCAATGACTTCGTTAAACAGGACAATGCATTATTATCACTTATGAAATAAGAAACTTACGAACAAAAATCTACTCAAGTATCAAAACCATTTTAACATAAAAAACTTATTCGTTCTCTATACATTAATGATATGGTAATCAAATGCAAAAAATAAAGAATTCAGTTATGATAACACCAACCTGATACAGTGCAGGAACTGAAGGCCAGGGGGCGATTCATAGTATACTAGATCCATGTGGTAGTCTAACTTTACTGATGTGTATGCCACATTGATAGGATTGGGGGTACTCTCCACACCAAATAGCTGTAACAGAGAATGCACCTTTAGTACACAGAATTAAGGGATTAGTCTCCTCACCAAATAGCTGTAACAGAGAATGCTCCTTCAGTACACAGAATTAAGGGATTAGTATCCACACCAAAAAGCTATAACAGAGAATGCACCTTCAGTACACAGAATCAAGGGATTAGTCTCCACACCAAATAGCTGTAACAGAGAACGCACCTTCAGTACACAGAATTAAGGCATTAGTCTCCACACCAAATAGCTGTAACAGGGAATGCACCTTCAGTACACAGAATTAAGGGATTAGCCTCCACACCAAATAGCTGTAACAGATAATGCACCTTCAGTACACAGAATTAATGGATTAGTCTCCACTGATCTGTGTCAGGTCACCTATAATAGGGGTGGCTGTCTCTGTAACTGACCTGTGTCAGGTCACCTATAAGGGATTAGTCTCCACACCAAATAGCTCTAACAGAGAATGCACCTTCAGTACACAGAATTAAGGCATTAGTCTCCACACCAAATAGCTGTAACAGGGAATGCACCTTCAGTACACAGAATTAAGGGATTAGTATCCACACCAAAAAGCTATAACAGAGAATGCACCTTCAGTACACAGATTTAAGGGATCAGTCTCCACACCAAATAGCTATAACAGAGAATGAACCTTCAGTACACAGAATTAAGGGATTAGCCTCCACACCAAATAGCTGTAACAGAGAACGCACCTTCAGTACACAGAATTAAGGCATTAGTCTCCACACCAAATAGCTGTAACAGAGAATGCCCCTTCAGTACACAGAATTAAGGGATTAGTATCCACACCAAAAAGCTATAACAGAGAATGCACCTTCAGTACACAGATTTAAGGGATCAGTCTCCACACCAAATAGCTATAACAGAAAATGCACCTTCAGTACACAAAATTAAGGGATTAGTCTCCACACCAAAAAGCTATAACAGACAATGCACCTTCAGTACACAGATTTAAGGGATCAGTCTCCACACCAAATAGCTATAACAGATAATGCACCTTCAGTACACAGAATTAAGGGATTAGTCTCCACACCAAATAGCTATAACAGAAAATGCACCTTCAGTACACAGATTTAAGGGATTAGTCTCCACACCAAATAGCTATAACAGAGAATTCACCTTCAGTACACAGAATTAATGGATTAGTCTCCACTGATCTGTGTCAGGTCACCTATAATAGGGGTGGCTAACCCTGTAACTGATCTGTGTCAGGTCACCTATAATAGGGGTGGCTGTCCCTGTAACTGATCTGTGTCAGGTCACCTATAATAGGGGTGGCTGTCCCTGTAACTGATCTGTGTCAGGTCACCTATAATAGGGGTGGCTGTCCCTGTAACTGATCTGTGTCAGGTCACCTATAATAGGGGTGGCTGTCCCTGTAACTGATCTGTGTCAGGTCACCTATAATAGGGGTGGCTGTCCCTGTAACTGATCTGTGTCAGGTCACCTATAATAGGGGTGGCTGTCCCTGTAACTGATCTGTGTCAGGTCACCTATAATAGGGGTGGCTGTCCCTGTAACTGATCTGTGTCAGGTCACCTATAATAGGGGTGGCTGTCCCTGTAACTGATCTGTGTCAGGTCACCTATAATAGGGGTGGCTGTCCCTGTAACTGATCTGTGTCAGGTCACCTATAATAGGGGTGGCTGTCCCTGTAACTGATCTGTGTCAGGTCACCTATAATAGGGGTGGCTGTCCCTGTAACTGATCTGTGTCAGGTCACCTATAATAGGGGTGGCTGTCCCTGTAACTGATCTGTGTCAGGTCACCTATAATAGGGGTGGCTGTCCCTGTAACTGATCTGTGTCAGGTCACCTATAATAGGGGTGGCTGTCCCTGTAACTGATCTGTGTCAGGTCACCTATAATAGGGGTGGCTGTCCCTGTAACTGATCTGTGTCAGGTCACCTATAATAGGGGTGGCTGTCCCTGTAACTGATCTGTGTCAGGTCACCTATAATAGGGGTGGCTGTCCCTGTAACTGATCTGTGTCAGGTCACCTATAATAGGGGTGGCTGTCCCTGTAACTGATCTGTGTCAGGTCACCTATAATAGGGGTGGCTGTCCCTGTAACTGATCTGTGTCAGGTCACCTATAATAGGGGTGGCTGTCCCTGTAACTGATCTGTGTCAGGTCACCTATAATAGGGGTGGCTGTCCCTGTAACTGATCTGTGTCAGGTCACCTATAATAGGGGTGGCTGTCCCTGTAACTGATCTGTGTCAGGTCACCTATAATAGGGGTGGCTGTCCCTGTAACTGATCTGTGTCAGGTCACCTATAATAGGGGTGGCTGTCCCTGTAACTGATCTGTGTCAGGTCACCTATAATAGGGGTGGCTGTCCCTGTAACTGATCTGTGTCAGGTCACCTATAATAGGGGTGGCTGTCCCTGTAACTGATCTGTGTCAGGTCACCTATAATAGGGGTGGCTGTCCCTGTAACTGATCTGTGTCAGGTCACCTATAATAGGGGTGGCTGTCCCTGTAACTGATCTGTGTCAGGTCACCTATAATAGGGGTGGCTGTCCCTGTAACTGATCTGTGTCAGGTCACCTATAATAGGGGTGGCTGTCCCTGTAACTGATCTGTGTCAGGTCACCTATAATAGGGGTGGCTGTCCCTGTAACTGATCTGTGTCAGGTCACCTATAATAGGGGTGGCTGTCCCTGTAACTGATCTGTGTCAGGTCACCTATAATAGGGGTGGCTGTCCCTGTAACTGATCTGTGTCAGGTCACCTATAATAGGGGTGGCTGTCCCTGTAACTGACCTGTGTCAGGTCACCTATAATAGGGGTGGCTGAGCCTGTAACTGATCTGTGTCAGGTCACCTATAATAGGGGTGGCTGTCCCTGTAACTGATCTGTGTCAGGTCACCTATAATAGGGGTGGCTGTCCCTGTAACTGACCTGTGTCAGGTCACCTATAATAGGGGTGGCTGAGCCTGTAACTGATCTGTGTCAGGTCACCTATAATAGGGGTGGCTGTCCCTGTAACTGATCTGTGTCAGGTAACCTATAATAGGGGTGGCTATCCCTGTAACTGACCTGTGTCAGGTCACCTATAATACGGGTGGCTGAGCCTGTAACTGATCTGTGTCAGATCACCTATAATAGGGGTGGCTGTCCCTGTAACTGATACGTATAATGTCACCTATAATAGGGGTGGCTGTCCCTGTAACTGACCTGTGTCAGGTCACCTATAATACGGGGGGCTGAGCCTGTAACTGATCTGTGTCAGATCACCTATAATAGGGGTGGCTGTCCCTGTAACTGATACGTATAATGTCACCTATAATAGGGGTGGCTGTCCCTGTAACTGGCCTGTGTCAGGTCACCTATAATACGGGTGGCTGAGCCTGTAACTGATCTGTGTCAGGTCACCTATAATAGGGGTGGCTGAGCCTGTAACTGATCTTTGTCAGGTCACCTATAATAGGGCTGGCTATCCCTGTAACTGCCCTGTGTCAGGTCACCTATAATAGGGCTGGCTGACCCTTTAACTGACCTGTGTCAGGTCACCTATAATAGGGGTGGCTTAGCCTGTAACTGATCTGTGTCAGGTCACCTATAATAGGGGTGGCTGACCCTTTAACTGACCTGTGTCAGGTCCCCTATAATAGGGGTGGCTTAGCCTGTAACTGATCTGTGTCAGGTCACCAATAATAGGGGTGGCTGAGCCTGTAACTGACCTGTGTCAGGTCACCTATAATAGGGCTGGCTAACCCTGTAACTGCCCTGTGTCAGGTCACCTATAATAGGGGTGGCTGTCCCTGTAACTGATCTGTGTCAGGTCACCTATAATAGGGGTGGATGAGCCTGTAACTGAACCGTGTCAGGTTGCCTATAAAAACGATTGACTTGTCCATGACACATATTTTTTTGACAGTCAGGTGGTTGACTGAAAGGGCAGGTCAGTTTGGCTTGTGATACTTATTCCTTTTGTTTGTAAATGGCAGTCATTGACAGTTGCCTTTCGTCGCTGTATAATGAGGAAAATGGTCTAAGCCAGGTGTGGCCAAGCTGACAAAACAAAGTTTGGATGCCACTGGCCCTGTGTTAAATGACCAAATTGCCAAATTGACAAACGCAGCATATAACAAAGCTGCTAATATTTCTATAAACTCTAGAAAAATATAAGGTTCTGGCGAAATGTGTGAATGTTAGGTCCCTGAGGGTCAGCAAGGATTTTGGGGCAAACTGAGTCACCAAATGCAGGCCAGACACTGAGTTTAAGGAAGACCAAAAAAGCGTTATATTTTGGATTTGCACCCCTGACGCATTGGAGTGAGAAATCAATGGGATACCCTCAATTTACGGAGGTTCTGCGCCCATCATCTGTTGACACAATATTGTTAATGAGAACTACTTTCTAGAAATTATGTGTAAACTAGAAATATGTCAAAATGACATGAAAGTCACCCCATCTCCTACATTTGTATATGATCATTTTCAGTATCCTAAATCATTGACCAAGCTACAACTGACATATTTCCACCTGTCAATCAAAATGGTCTAACAATATAATATAAACTTTATTTATTTTACAACAATTATGAAACAAGTTATTTCAACTTATATTAATCACTCTTGTTGGCCTAGCAATGACAGGTGTATATACATACATACACGCTGTTTAGGTAACCATTCCAACACATGGAATTAATAAGAAAGCATGTTGCAAATATCTGTTGTCACCTGGCATGGGCAGAACAGGTAATTGGAATAAAACGATGTTGTTTTCACTACAATAACTTTCAGAAAAGATTCAATTTTATAAATGGATAAATCTTTCACTTTTTTTTTTTATAAGATACACGATTCAAAGTAGTTTTGTGATCGTCTGCAAATCTGACTGAATCAGACTTCAATATGCCTATCGGCAGGGTGTGTACACTTTGTTAAAGGCAGTCACTCAAACAGGTCCGACGGTCAGTGTCACCCACCTTTAGTACCCCGGTCACTCTTAGACGGTCAGTGTCACCCACCTTTAGTATCCCGGTGGCTCTCAGACGGTCAGTGTCACCCACCTTTAGTACCCCGGTCACTCTTAGACGGTCAGTGTCACCCACCTTTAGTATCCCGGTCATTCTTAGATGATTAGTGTCACCCACCTTTAGTATCCCTGTCACTCTTAGATGGTCAGTGTCGCCCACCTTTAGTAACCTGGTAGCTTGTAGGCGGTCAGTGTCACCCACCTTTAGTATCCCGGTAGCTCTTAGACGGTCAGTGTCACCCACCTTTAGTATCCTGGTAGCTAGTAGACGGTCAGTGTCACCCACCTTTAGTATCCTGGTAGCTAGCAGACGGTCAGTGTCACCCACCTTTAGTATCCCGGTCACTCTTAGATGGTCAGTGTCACCCACCTTTAGTATCCCGGTAGCTGGTAGACGGTCAGTGTCACCCACCTTTAGTATCCCGGGAGCTCGTAGACGGGCAGTGTCACCCACCTTTAGTATCCCGGTCACTCTTAGATGGTCAGTGTCACCCACCTTTAGTATCCTGGTAGCTAGTAGACGGTCAGTGTCACCCACCTTTAGTATCCCGATAGCTCGAATACGGGCAGTGTCACCCACCTTTAGTATCCCGGTCACTCTTAGATGGTCAGTGTCACCCACCTTTAGTATCCTGGTAGCTAGTAGACGGTCAGTGTCACCCACCTTTAGTATCCCGGTAGCTTGTAGACGGTCAGTGTCACCCACCTAGTAGGCTGGACAAGTGCATATTTAACCCAAACAGCCTTCAGGCTTCATTATATCCTTCTCATCCACCCTATCAGAGATGCTAGGATGAGAGGGGGATTTTCAATGTTAAATTATTATGATTGACTATAGTTAGGACACACCTTGCCGTAGATTGTTTCCTGAATTGGTGCTATCTTCTCCACCACCTGTAGACAGACAAAGGTACACATAGTCAACATAGTGAGGTGGCAGTCATTACTGACAGCACTGTGACGGGTAGTCGAGAAGTACTGATATGAGGACAAGTGGAGTTGGGGATCAGCAGAGAAATCCCGAACACTACAATTTCATTCTGTTAGGCTCATCCGCATTATACAAAAATTAACAACACATTATAGACCCCACCACATATATACTAACTCGTAAGTCCCTCCCCCTAATCCCTAAATATGTGTATATTTTACATAAGTCCCTCCCCCTAATCCCTAAATACGTTTATATTTTACATAAGTCCCTCCCCCTACCCTAAATACGTTTATATTTTACATAAGTCCCTCCCCCTAATCCCTAAATATGTTAACATTTTACATAAGTCCCTCCCCCTAATCCCTAAATATGTTTATATTTTACATAAGTCCCTCCCCCTAATCCCTAAATACATTAATATTTTACATAAGTCCCTCCCCCTAATCCCTAAATATGTGTATATTTTACATAAGTCCCTCCCCCTATTCCTAAATATGTGGATAGTTTACATAAGTCCCTCCCCCTAATCCCTAAATACGTGGATAGTTTACAGAAGTCCCTCCCCCTAATCCCTAAATATGTGTATATTTTACATAAGTCCCTCCCCCTAATCCCTAAATACGTTTATATTTAACCTGAAATCATTTTCTGCAACTTTTTTGGAAATATTGAAAAACAAATCAGACTCCATTTAAGAGGTAATCTGTAATAGTGTTTGTATATAAATAATGTACATGGCCTGTTTACTGTGAGTATGAAGTGGAAGGACTCTCTACCCTAATAGAATACGTGCTTACGACTCTCTACCCTAACAGAATATGTGCTTACGACTCTCTACCCTAATAGAATATGTGCTTACGACTCTCTACCCTAATAGAATACGTGCTTACGACTCTCTTCCCTAATAGAATACGTGCTTACGACTCTCTACTCTAATAGAATACGTGCTTACGACTCTCTACCCTAACAGAATATGTGCTTACGACTCTCTACCCTGATAGAATACGTGCTTACGACTCTCTACTCTAATAGAATATGTGCTTACGACTCTCTACCCTGATAGAATACATGCTTACGACTCTCTACCCTGATAGAATACGTGCTTACGACTCTCTACTCTAATAGAATACGTGCTTACGACTCTCTACTCTAACAGAATACGTGCTTACGACTCTCTACCCTAACAGAATACGTGGTTACAACTCTCTACCCTAACAGAATACGTGCTTACGACTCTCTACTCTAATAGAATATGTGCTTACGACTCTCTACCCTAATAGAATATGTGCTCAAGACTCTCTACTCTAATACATGCTTACGACTCTCTACTCTAACAGAATACGTGCTTACGACTCTCTACCCTAATAGAATACGTGCTTACCTCCGGAAGTGTTGTCATTTCTGTGGGTGCACCTTTAACCAGACACATCCCATCCTCGTTTATATGTTGCAGCCACCTTCAACAACAAATGAAATCATTATTTAAAAGATCAGAATAACCAGAACACTGACAGATCAGGCCCTGCCATGCTCCTCACCATGTATATTCCTGATAATCACTGAGCAGAAGCAAAGTATGAACAAAAACATTCCATTAGGACAAACCTGTCACCATAGTGTCTCATCAATCCGAAGCCAAAAAAGATGGCATAATCAACAAAGGATATTTACCAAGTATTATTTACAATTGAAACAAAAACTGACAAGTACCAATTTGCCAAATAACTCAGTAGTGCCACTCTCTATATCACCTGTTGTATTTATAATAAAAGTGATCTTGATGTTTGACCTTTTAAGCTAGATCTGATGTCATTATATATACCATGTTGAATATCCCGATTGTAACATTTACCAAATATCATCACCCTGGACATTTTGGTTATTCAGAAGAAGTTGTTTAAAGATTTCAACACATTTGACCCATGTGACCTTGAACATGGGTGAAGGCCATTCTTTTGAACAAACTTGGTAGTCCTTCATCCCAGTATGCTACTGACCAAATATCACCATCCTGGTCCTTTTTGGTTAAGCAGAAGAAGTTGTTTAAAGATTTGAACATATGTGACCCCTGTGACCTTGAATATGTGTGAAGGTAATTTATTTGAACAAACTTGGTAGCCCTTCATCCCAATTTGCTTCTGGCCAAATATCATCACCCTAGGCCTTTTGGTTATTAAGAAAAAGTTGTTTAAAGTAAAATCTTGAGGCCGGATGACGGACAGACGACGGACCAGGTGAGCTTATCATTCTATCAGACTGGTCACAAATCTTTAAGCATTGAACTGTTACCAGATGCAGTATACAGTCGATATGAATGCAATTTGGGTGACAGATAAATATTCATGTCGCCCTTCATTCATATCGATTGTATACTGCATCTGGTAACAGTTCAATGCTTATATTTATATGTATATAGCTTGTTTTGAATAGTAACTGAAGCAAAATTACATTTGAATTTCCCGCTTATCATATTAGTGACGTCAGTAAGTCAAATCCCGGAACAGCTGAATTTTCCAGAAGAAATAATATAGTCCCTCGTGTCATTGCAAACCACACGTACATGAAATGGTTTGAACACAAACTTCACTTTATTATTTATTTCATAAGAGTGTGTATATGTTGAAAAAATGTTAATAATTGCATAACTTCTGCTTGTTTAAAATTAAAGCTGTTTTTCGCGCATTGATAGATTATATGTATTTGGAAGTGACGCGGCGCTGAATGGACTTGATTTTTTCCTCGGAAACCCTTATGTTTCCATCGACTGGAATATTACGTTATTTTCAGAAGCATACATACTCAGAATTTTTTAATTATAGTGGTCCTTTCAGTAGGTGGTAACGATTCCAAGGACATTCGTTTGAAACAGATTCCATGTCTAATCGGTCAGATTAGCATCGCTAGCAGACGACGTTCACAGGGGCTCAGTTTCGTGATTTTGAGTAATGGATGACATCACTGAAGAACCACAACACTTAAAAAGGTATTTATGCACATTCTAAAACCTTGTCTATACCCTCGACTTTTACAAGGTTTTATAAATGCTGAATTTAAGTGTTGTGGTTATTCACTGATGTTTAATATGCATAACTCAAAATCTTGAAACCGAGCCCCTGTGTGATGACTTTGACAAACTTGGTAATTTTGTATCTAGTATGGCCCTTACAATAATTTGGTACCTACACATCTTATAGTAAATTTATATTGTCATAATTTGTCAAGTTGCTTTATTTTTTGCAATGACCTACATTGCTAAATGCTAACGAACCACAAAAGTTCTCTGACTATAGGCCTATTCGGATACTGAAAGTATCTGGTGGCCATGTATGCCTACACTGGCCGTATCACTGTAAATTGTAGTATACAGTCTCATATACTGCAATTTGGTTTACTAACGATATATAGGCAAATGCAACACAGAATGTAAATATTGAATAATATATGCAACGAAAATCCTTCATGAGATATCCTTACCTGAGGAGCCCTTTATCCCCACTGATTACCTCCTCATAACTCATACTGGGGAGTCGAGTGCCCTACAACAGAACAACACAGCACTCCTAATACCTGAAGTTTAGGTGAAACACTGTCCCTCATTAGTTTTGCAGATAAGGGTTTTGTATCGCCATTTCCCTAAAAATGGGAATACAGCAGAATATATCAGGGGTGCACTTAAATTAAGGTCCAGCCAGGTGTTTGATTGTTATTAACCTATTAACAGTAGACCCAGGGACCCAGTTCACCTGCTATGTGTTTTTAGCTGGTGGACATAGCTCAGCAGCTCACGCTATGTTAAGGTGGATCTTTTGTAAATGTTTGTCACACGGTGTTTAGATAAAACCTTATTGATTTTGAGGGTTGAGTGATAACTGTTGATTTTTAATAAATTTGTTTTGAAATTTGTCTCATAACAAGAGGCCTAATGGGCCTGAATCGCTCATCTGGTATTAATCTAACACTTTTAATCTTAAAATTGGACTAAAATACAGCTACAAGGAAAATACCATTCAAAAGAATCTAATCAAAGGTCTAAACATGTGACACATGTGACCTTGAAAATCAAACAAGGACATTAAGTTGAACAAACTTGGTAACCCTTCATCCCAGCATGTTACTGGCCAAATATCAAAACCCTGGACCTTAACATTTTTCAGAAGTTGTTTAAAGATTTCAACATATTTGACCCCTGTGACCTTGGATATCAGTCAAGGTCATTCATTTGAACAAACTTGGTAACTCTTCATCCCAGCATGTTACTGGCCAAATATCAAAACCCTGGACCTTAAGATTTTTCAGAAGTCATTTACAGTTTTCAACATATTTGACCCCTGTTACCTTGAATATAAGTCAAGGTCATTCATTTGAACAAACTTAGTAGCCCTTCATCCTAGTATGTTACTGGTCAAATATCATCACCAAAGGCCTCTTGGTTATTCAGAAGAAGTTGTTTAAAGGTTTTAAACATAATTGATCTCTGTGACAAGGATATCTCACACCTGGAAAAGTGTGGACACACCTATCCTGGGTCAGAGAAAGAGTGATTCCAGTATACTCTGCTAACTTTGATGCTGGGTGTATAAATAGAGGATCCAGTATATACCTCCATATCAAATATACACCTACATATCAGATATACACCTCCGTATCAAATATACACCTCCATATCAGATATACACCTCCATATCAAATATACACCTCCATATCAGATATACACCTCCGTATCAGATATATACACCTCCATATCAGATATACACCTCCATATCAGATATATACCTCCATATGAGATATCCACCTCCATATCAGATATACACCTCCGTATCAAATATACACCTCCATATCAAATATACACCTCCATATCAGATATACACCTCCATATCAGATATACACCTCCATATCAGATATACACCTCCATATCAGATATACACCTCCATATCAGATATACACCTCCATATCAGATATACACCTCCATATCAGATATACACCTCCATATCAGATATACACCTCCATATCAGATATACACCTCCATATCAGATATACACCTCCATATCAGATATACACCTCCATATCAGATATACACCTCCATATCAGATATACACCTCCATATCAGATATACACCTCCATATCAGATATACACCTCCATATCAGATATACACCTCCATATCAGATATACACCTCCATATCAGATATACACCTCCATATCAGATATACACCTCCATATCAGATATACACCTCCATATCAGATATACACCTCCATATCAGATATACACCTCCATATCAGATATACACCTCCATATCAGATATACACCTCCATATCAAATATACACCTCCATATCAGATATACACCTCCATATCAGATATACACCTCCATATCAGATATACACCTCCATATCAGATATACACCTCCATATCAGATATACACCTCCATATCAGATATACACCTCCATATCAGATATACACCTCCATATCAGATATACACCTCCATATCAGATATACACCTCCATATCAGATATACACCTCCATATCAGATATACACCTCCATATCAGATATACACCTCCATATCAGATATACACCTCCATATCAGATATACACCTCCATATCAGATATACACCTCCATATCAGATATACACCTCCATATCAGATATACACCTCCATATCAGATATACACCTCCATATCAGATATACACCTCCATATCAGATATACACCTCCATATCAGATATACACCTCCATATCAGATATACACCTCCATATCAGATATACACCTCCATATCAGATATACACCTCCATATCAGATATACACCTCCATATCAGATATACACCTCCATATCAGATATACACCTCCATATCAGATATACACCTCCATATCAGATATACACCTCCATATCAGATATACACCTCCATATCAGATATACACCTCCATATCAGATATACACCTCCATATCAGATATACACCTCCATATCAGATATACACCTCCATATCAGATATACACCTCCATATCAGATATACACCTCCATATCAGATATACACCTCCATATCAGATATACACCTCCATATCAGATATACACCTCCATATCAGATATACACCTCCATATCAAATATACACCTCCATATCAGATATACACCTCCATATCAGATATACACCTCCATATCAGATATACACCTCCATATCAGATATACACCTCCATATCAGATATACACCTCCATATCAGATATACACCTCCATATCAGATATACACCTCCATATCAGATATACACCTCCATATCAGATATACACCTCCATATCAGATATACACCTCCATATCAGATATACACCTCCATATCAGATATACACCTCCATATCAGATATACACCTCCATATCAGATATACACCTCCATATCAGATATACACCTCCATATCAGATATACACCTCCATATCAGATATACACCTCCATATCAGATATACACCTCCATATCAGATATACACCTCCATATCAGATATACACCTCCATATCAGATATACACCTCCATATCAGATATACACCTCCATATCAGATATACACCTCCATATCAGATATACACCTCCATATCAGATATACACCTCCATATCAGATATACACCTCCATATCAGATATACACCTCCATATCAGATATACACCTCCATATCAGATATACACCTCCATATCAGATATACACCTCCATATCAGATATACACCTCCATATCAGATATACACCTCCATATCAGATATACACCTCCATATCAGATATACACCTCCATATCAGATATACACCTCCATATCAGATATACACCTCCATATCAGATATACACCTCCATATCAGATATACACCTCCATATCAGATATACACCTCCATATCAGATATACACCTCCATATCAGATATACACCTCCATATCAGATATACACCTCCATATCAGATATACACCTCCATATCAGATATACACCTCCATATCAGATATACACCTCCATATCAGATATACACCTCCATATCAGATATACACCTCCATATCAGATATACACCTCCATATCAGATATATACCTCCATATCAGATATATACCTCCATATCAGATATACACCTCCATATCAGATATACACCTCCATATCAGATATACACCTCCATATCAGATATACACCTCCATATCAGATATACACCTCCATATCAGATATACACCTCCATATCAGATATACACCTCCATATCAGATATACACCTCCATATCAGATATACACCTCCATATCAGATATACACCTCCATATCAGATATACACCTCCATATCAGATATACACCTCCATATCAGATATACACCTCCATATCAGATATACACCTCCATATCAGATATACACCTCCATATCAGATATACACCTCCATATCAGATATACACCTCCATATCAGATATACACCTCCATATCAGATATACACCTCCATATCAGATATACACCTCCATATCAGATATACACCTCCATATCAGATATACACCTCCATATCAGATATACACCTCCATATCAGATATACACCTCCATATCAGATATACACCTCCATATCAGATATACACCTCCATATCAGATATACACCTCCATATCAGATATACACCTCCATATCAGATATACACCTCAATATCAGATATATACCTCCATATCAGATATACACCTCCATATCAGATATACACCTCCATATCAGATATATACCTCCATATCAGATATACACCTCAGTATCAGATATACACCTCCCTATCAGATATACACCTCCATATCAGCTATACACCTCCATATTAGATATACACCTCCATATCAAATATACACCTCGATATCAGATATACACCTCCATATCAGATATACACCACCGTATCAGATATACACCTCAGCATCAGATATACACCTCCATATCAGCTATACACCTCCATATCAGCTATACACCTCCATATCAGATATAAACCTCCATATCAGACATACACCTCCATATCAGATATATACCTCCATATCAGATGTACACCTCCATATCAGATATACACCTCCATATCAGATATCCACCTCCATATCAAATATACACCTCCATATCAGATATACACCTCAGTATCAGATATACACCTCCATATCAGATATATACCTCCATATCAGATATACACCTCCGTATCAAATATACACCTCCATATCAGATATACACCTCCATATCAAATATACACCTCCATATCAGATATACACCTCCGTATCAGATATATACACCTCCATATCAGATATACACCTCCATATCAGATATATACCTCCATATCAAATATACACCTCCATATCAGATATACACCTCCATATCAAATATACACCTCCATATCAGATATACACCTCCATATCAGATATACACCTTCATATCAGATATACACCTCCATATCAAATATACACCTCCATATCAGATATATACCTCCATATCAGATTCGACCAAGGACAATATGTAAAGGAGTGTTGTAATGATGTTTACAATGGAAAGCAACAGATTGCAATAGCCCACTTGGATCTTTGAGCTAAGTGACCTAAAAGTTGTCAGATGACAAACACTGGCTGATGACAAGATCACCAGTCTTTCGGACCAGAGCTAGGTGAGCTAAATATATTTCTGTGTAGGTCACAGAAGTCATTTGCAGGTTGACCTGTGCAAATGCAGATGACCTGGCACATATGCAAAGACATTAAAAGTGGTCCATACAAATGATAGGCACTTTAGTCATGTTCACTGTATAAACAGTCATGTCTCTCCTTGATGGAAAAAACAGACTCGGAGAGATACGCTTCTCCTTCTAGGGGGAAAGACCTTTGAACTCGTCCTGTTTTGTTTACAAAACACTACTTTCCACTAACCTGGTCCCGTGACACTGGTTCCTGGCGGCCATGGTAACTATGTTGTTGTAAGAAATCAACTTTAACATGTCCATGATGCTGACTGTCTGCCCACTTAATATGTAACTCTGTTCCATTTTCTTGATGCAAGAGAAAAATATAATGACCATCTACATAAAATGTTATTACACATATTAAAGACTGCATTTAGTGATTTTATTTTCTTCACAAATATGAATTTGATTTCCCCATTAAATATATAAGAAGGCTGCCGGGGTTGTAAAGCCCTGGGGTTAGCTTTACCATTTAGTGTCCTCATGCAAGAAGGCTCTCTCTCATTCTGCCATGCACTATATAACTTTATGTATATTTAATTTAGTACATCTAGTAAAAAAGATAGAGAGAAGATCAGGTAGAGTAATATGTGTATATTATACCCCGAGTTACCATAACCATCTAATGTAAGCTTATAATGAAATATCTATACTATTTGTAATGGTATCCTGCTTGTTTTATATCAGAAGTCCAGGCAAATATGTTTGTAATTCCTAGTGTATAAATATATACCTAATTGGTAAGTATTTCCTGGGAAATAGTGATAATATTCTTGAAATGTCAAAATCCAAGATGACCACCTGCCGCCATCGTGTTTTTGCAATTTGTCTCAAAATAATACATGCACAATTATATTATTCACTAAGACATGGACATGATTGTAAGATTCTATTTATCACATAACATTCATAATTTGAACAAAACTTCTAACACAATTATGTGTGATCAGCGACTCTTCATAGTCAATTAAACAAAAATACTCTGATCACAAAATTGATGTTCTGCACAGTGCAAAGTAGCTCCATTTAAAAAATAATAATGAGCAGTTTAAAAACATTAAAAATAACTATGACAAAATTAATATTTCAAATTCAGTGAAAATAACAGTAATTGTATCAAAACCTGTAGTGGTGTAGGAATATTTTATCATGGTTTTGACCAATGGCAGCACCTTAAGGTTTTAATACACATGTGTGTTAACATGTTTATAATATGGCCTTATAACATAACATAGTAAAATGGGTCAGTTATGTGATAACTAGAAAATGTCTGTAAGACATAAATGCCCCCGCTCATGGACGGGACGGGACGGGCATGGGCAACAATATATGCCCCCCCCCCCCATATTATGGCGGGGGCATACAAATATGTACTGCATGTTATTAGTGTATACCATTTTATACACATTCATATATATATAAAACAAAACACAAAGACTAAATTTCGGTAGCGTTTTCGCCCATCTTGGAGTGATTTTGACTGAAGAGCCCCAAGATGGGTGAAATAAATGTTATCTAAATATACCTGAAACACCTTTATAGGGGCCTGAATCACCCAGCAATGTATCAGTCCTTACGTGTTACATGCCTAGTGTAATCCACAAACACCTTATAGGGGCCTGAATCACCCAGCAATGTATCAGGCCTTAGGTGTTAAATGCCTAGTGTAATCCACAAACACCTTTATAGGGGCCTGAATCACCCAGCAATGTATCAGGCCTTAGATGTTACATGCCTAGTGTAATCCACAAACACCTTATAGGGGTCTGAATCACCCAGCAATGTATCAGGCCTTAGGTTTTACATGCCTAGTGTAATCCACAAACACCTTATAGGGGCCTGAATCACCCAGCAATGTATCAGGCCTTAGATGTTACATGCCTAGTGTAATCCACAAACACCTTATAGGGGTCTGAATCACCCAGCAATGTATCAGGCCTTAGGTTTTACATGCCTAGTGTAATCCACAAACACCTTATAGGGGCTGAATCACCCAGCAATGTATCAGTCCTTAGGTGTTACATGCCTAGTGTAATCCACAAACCCCTTATAGGGGCTGAATCACCCAGCAATGTATCAGTCCTTAGGTGTTACATGCCTAGTGTAATCCACAAACACCTTATTGGGGCTGAATCACCCAGCAATGTATCAGGCCTTAGGTGTTAAATGCCTAGTGTAATCCACAAACACCTTTATAGGGGCCTGAATCACCCGGAAATGTATCAGTCCTTACGTGTTACATGCCTAGTGTAATCCACAAACACCTTTATAGGGGCCTGAATCACCCGGAAATGTATCAGTCCTTACGTGTTACATGCCTAGTGTAATCCACAACCACCTTATAGGGGCCTGAATCACCCAGCAATGTATCAGGCCTTAGATGTTACATGCCTAGTGTAATCCACAAACACCTTATAGGGGTCTGAATCACCCAGCAATGTATCAGGCCTTAGGTTTTACATGCCTAGTGTAATCCACAAACACCTTATAGGGGCCTGAATCACCCAGCAATGTATCAGTCCTTAGGTGTTACATGCCTAGTGTAATCCACAAACCCCTTATAGGGGCTGAATCACCCAGCAATGTATCAGGCCTTAGGTGTTACATGCCTAGTGTAATCCACAAACACCTTTGTACAGGCCTCTTGTTTCATCCCTTTTAGTAGTGATGACCCAATTAACAATCAATTATCTTTAACAAAGGTTGAAGTTTGTTCAGTGTTCTCCAGAAGGATTTCAATAGGTTGTTGCGATGAGATTCTATATTTGTATCCCCAGAGGTACATGATGTGTCATTGACTGTCAGATCGGTATTTATGTCCAGGCTACATTGTATTTCTACTGATGGTCTCCTTTTTGCTGTCATGGGTTTTATTTGGGCAGAAACATTTGTTTGAATTTGTGCACTAAACAGGGATGGTTTTAGCAGCATTCTCACTTCACTGTTTATGGCCTCCAACAGCTGTTGATGGGACAGTTTGACCTCCTGCTGTAAATCTTTGATTTGCTTGATGCATTTGGAGAGGATTGGTGTAGGGTACACTGGTCCCAAGGTGTAAAGGCTAGTGACAGGGCTGACCACTGCACTAATGTTCTCCTGGATGGGTATCAACTCTATAGGGGTCGGTGCTGTGCACATAGGTCCAAAGCTAAGAAGGCTGGTGTCAGGGCTGGTCACAGCAGCAGCTCGCTGGGGTGTGGGCACCATTGGTCTCAAATATCTCTGGCTACTGCTGTGCTGTATTGGTGTGGAGGGACTGGCAGGGAGTAGACAGCCTTGACACTGGTGTCACTGAAGTTATGTAACATTTATTGGGGGCTGACCATAGTGTCCTGCTGTTGAGATTTCCTTATTCCATCATCTTTCATAGGAATCCTTCATTATTTATACAAAAACTTTTAATTATAAACAATAATTGAAATCTTTACTATAGAGTTTTGAACTGGCGTTTAAAACAACTATGAACTGAAGTTAACACTGTAGTGCGCTGGAGTTTACATTGCAGTGCACTGGAGTTAACATTGCACTGAACTGAAGTTAACACTGAAGTGAACTGTAGTTAACATTGCAGTGAACTAAAGTTTACACTTTAGTGCACTGGAGTTAACATTGCAGTGAACTGAAGTTAACACTGTAGTGCACTGGAGTTAACATTGCATTGAACTGAAGTTAACACTGTAGTGAACTGGAGTTAACACTGTAGTGAACTGAAGTTAACACTGTAGTGAACTGTAGTTAACATTGCAGTGAACTGAAGTTAACACTGTAGTGAACTGGAGTTAACATTGCAGTGAACTGAAGTTAACACTGTAGTGAACTGGAGTTAACATTGCAGTGAACTGAAGTTAACACTGTAGTGAACTGGAGTTAACATTGCAGTGAACTGAAGTTAACACTGTAGTGAACTGTAGTTAACATTGCAGTGAACTGAAGTTAACACTGTAGTGAACTGTAGTTAACATTGCAGTGAACTGAAGTTAACACTGTAGTGAACTGTAGTTAACATTGCAGTGAACTGAAGTTAACACTGTAGTGAACTGTAGTTAACATTGCAGTGAACTGAAGTTAACACTGTAGTGAACTGTAGTTAACATTGCAGTGAACTGAAGTTAACACTGTAGTGAACTGTAGTTAACATTGCAGTGAACTGAAGTTAACACTGTAGTGAACTGTAGTTAACATTGCAGTGAACTGAAGTTAACACTGTAGTGAACTGTAGTTAACATTGCAGTGAACTGAAGTTAACACTGTAGTGAACTGTAGTTAACATTGCAGTGAACTGAAGTTAACACTGTAGTGAACTGTAGTTAACATTGCAGTGAACTGAAGTTAACACTGTAGTGAACTGTAGTTAACATTGCAGTGAACTGAAGTTAACACTGTAGTGAACTGTAGTTAACATTGCAGTGAACTGAAGTTAACACTGTAGTGAACTGTAGTTAACATTGCAGTGAACTGAAGTTAACACTGTAGTGAACTGTAGTTAACATTGCAGTGAACTGAAGTTAACACTATAGTGCACTGGAGCTAACATTGCAGTGAACTGAAGCTAACACTGTAGTGAACAGTAGTTAACATTGCAGTGAACTGAAGCTAACACTATAGTGCACTGGAGCTAACATTGCAGTGAACTGAAGTTAACACTGTAGTGAACTGGAGTTAACATTGCAGTACCTTTTTAGCTATTTGTGTAGTACACAACGCACTCAATGCAGAGTTTATTTGCTCCCAACTGTATGCCAATTAGATGGTGTGAACAACTGTCCAATCACAGGGTATCAAACATTTTCACTTATAGAGGTTTATCATATTTAATTGTATCCCTTACTAATCCTAGGATGCTGCAGTTAATCACAGCTCTTTGTGTGTATCAACCCACCACCCTCAGATACATTATGCCTAATATTGGTGTTTGGCTTTGACAAGTCCCTACTGTTCTGATTATTGTCTCAGGTCAAAATAACCGACAAATTCCTGCTTTTCTGACTACTGACTCAAAATCATATTATCTATACTTAAGTGGAGAAGAAATCCCAGTAAATACTCTGAGAAGAGATCTGTGTCATGGTTTCCTGAGGAAATGACCACTTACCATTGAAGTAAGCTGTTTCAATAACAGTGCCAGGGTTGACATTAGTGGTCTCTAACAGGCGCTGACCAGAGTGGGGCTGAACACATTCTGGACACTGACAGTTGTACCGTAGCCACACCGCATGATACCTGTAATGTCATCATGTATCAAAGTCTTAAAACGGCTTTATCAACAAAATGAATTAAGATCAAAATAATCAAAGTGTCCATTACCCTGGAAGACTGTCAGCGGTAAATATGATCCATCATAAGTTACAAATTTTGCTGTAAATAGAGGTTTCATCTTAAATGGCTTCATGGCAGTTGATACAATATGTTGGGTCCCCTTGAGTCAATAATTTGTACTTCCTATGATCAATGAACAAGTAGACAATTTCCTTGATATAGTCCTTGTCAGAACAGCTCAGTGCAATGAAATGATTTTATGTGTATGACATATTGTGACCTGATTCAACCTAAACATAACCAACATTAAAACCAGAATTCTGCTTGGTTGGGTTTTTTTCGGTAAAAATACCAACTGTTGACCAGAATACACGCAAGACAGTTGTCTGTGGGAGGGAAATTACATGTAAGACAGTTGTCTGTGGGAAGGAACTTACACGTAAGACAGTTGTCTGTGCGGCCGGAACTTATACGTAAGACAGTTGTCTGTGGGAGGGAACTTACACGCAAGACAGTTGTCTGTGGGACGGAACTTACACGTAAGACAGTTGTCTGTGGGGCGGAACTTATACACGTAAGACAGTTGTCTGTGGGTGGGAACTTACACGCAAGACAGTTGTCTGTGGGAGGGAACTTACACGTAAGACAGTTGTCTGTGGGAGGGAACTTACACGCAAGACAGTTGTCTGTGGGACAGAACTTACACGTAAGACAGTTGTCTGTGGGACAGAATTTACACATAAGACAGTTGTCTGTGGGAGGGAACTTACAATCTCACACTTGTAACCTTAAAATAAATTGAAGCTACAGACAAAATATCAGTATCTAGGACTCTAAGTCATTTAAAAGAACCTGTTTAAACATTTGAACATATTTGACCTCTGTGACCTTAAAGTCAAACAAGGTTATTAAGTTGAACAAACTTGATAGCCCTCCATCTCAGCATGCAACTTGCCAAATATCATCACCAAAGACTTTTTGTTTATTGAGATGAAATAATTCAAAAGTTAATGCATATTTGACATTTTGTGACCTTTAAAGTGGGTCAAGGTCATTCACATGAAAAACTTAATAGTTCCTCATCTGATCATATTAATATCAAGTACCCTATTCATTTTGGTTATTCAGAAGAAGTTGTTGAAAGTTTTTCATATTTTTGACTCCTTTGACCTGGAATAAGATCGACTCAAGTTCATTTCTTTAAACAAACATGGTATCCCTTTATCCCAGCATTTTATTGGCCACCCTGGGCTTTATGGTAATTCAGAAGAGGCCAGTTAAAGTTGTAAACATATCTGACCCCTATAAACTTGAATATTGGTGCAGGTCATTCATTTGAACAAACTTGGTAACCCTTCATTCCTGCATGCTACTGGCCAAATATCATCCCCCTGGGTATTTCTGTTATTCAGAAAAAATGGTTTAAAGTTTAAACAGAGAATTGACAGAAAGATCTGAGAAGTATCCAATACTATTGGATTACTGTCGTGATAATATACCACAATAATGGAACTATCCCAGTAGTGTTTTCCCCAATAGTAATAGTATTGCAATAGTGAAAAATACACACAGGTCACCCCTAATGGACGGATAACAGACTGTACGCCATGGCATGATTGTTGACCTTTGCTATGTACCTCAAGTCTTTTCCATTATGCCACTTTAAGACCAGTTCCTGTCCATTGTTACAGAGTAAGGTTTTCGGCTGTGTACTTGTGGTTTTGCCTTGGGACAATCCAACTTGTGGGTGCTACAGGAAAAATTAAAAAGTCATGAAAAAATATTATAAACAAGTTCACAAGAGAAAAAGGTTTAACATTCATATTACTTCCTTTATTATTCTATTCTTCAATTTGTTAACATTGGTTAGTTACATCTTAATGATAACACAGGGACCTGAACATTAGCATTGGTTAGTTACATCTTATTGATGACACAGGGACCTGAACATTAACATTGGTAAGTTACATTGGATTGATAACACAGGGGCCTGAACATTAACATTGGTGAGTTACATAGTATTGACAACACAGGCACCTGAACATTAACAGTGGTTAGTTACATAGTCTTGATAACACAGGGACCAGAACATTAACATTGGTATGTTACATCGTATTGATAACACAGGGACCTGAATATTAACATTGGTTAGTTACATCTTATTGATAATACAGGGACCTGAACATTAACATTGGTTAGTTACATAGTATTGATAACACAGGCACCTGGAAATTAACATTGGTAAGTTACATCGTATTGATGACACAGGGGCCTGAACATCAACATTGGTAAGTTACAACGTATTGATGACACAGGGACATGAACATTAACATTGGTCAGTTACATCTTACTGATAACACAGGGACCTCAACATTAACATTGGTAAATTACATCGTATTGATGAAACAGGGACCTGAACATTCACATTGGTTAGTTACATATTATTGATAACACAGGGGCCTGAACATTGACATTGGTTAGTTACATCGTATGGATAACACAGGGACCTGTACATTAACATTGGTAAGTAACATCGTATTGATGACACAGGGGCCTGAACATTTACATTGGTTAGTTACATATTATTGATAACACAGGGGCCTGAACATCAACATTGGTAAGTTACACCTTATTGATAACACAGGAACCTGAACATTAACATTTTTAATTTACATCGTATTGATAACCCAGGGACCTGAACATTCACATTGGTAAGTTACATAGTATTGATAACACATGCACCTGAACATTAACATTTTTAATTTACATCGTATTGATAACCCAGGGACCTGAACATTCACATTGGTTAGTTACATCTTTTTGATAACACAGGGACCTCAACATTAACATTGGTAAGGTACATCGTTTTGATAACACAGGGACCGGAACATTAACATTGGTAATTTACATCTTATTGATAATACAGGGACCTGAACATTATCATTGGTAAGTTACATCTTTTTAATAACACAGGGACCTGAACATTTACATTGGTTAGTTACATCTTTTTGATAACACAGGGACCAGAACATTAACATTGGTATGTTACATCGTATTGATAACCCAGGGACCTGAACATTCACATTGGTTAGTTACATATTATTGATAACACAGGGACCGGAACATTAACATTGGTATGTTACATCGTATTGATAACCCAGGGACCTGAACATTCCCATTGGTAAGTTACATCTTAATGATAACACAGGGACCTGAATATTGACATTGGTTAGTTACATATTATTGATAACACAGGGACCTGAACGTTAACATTGGTAAGTTATATCTTATTGATAACACAGGAACCTGAACATTAACATTGTTAAGTTACATCTTACTGATAACACAGGGACCTGAACATTAACATTGGTAAGTTACATCTTATTGATAACACAGGGGCCTGAACATTAACATTGGTTAGTTACATCTTTTTGATAACACAGGGACCTGAACATTAACATTGGTAAGTTACATCTTATTGATAACACAGGGACCTGAACATTAACATTGGTTAGTTACATCGTATGGATAACACAGGGACCTGAACATTAACATTGGTTAGTTACATCTTTTTGATAACACAGGGACCTGAACATTAACATTGGTAAGTTACATCGTATTGATGACACAGGGACCTGAACATTAACATGTAGTATGTACGTTTCTACCTTGATTGTTTATATATCCCCCATGATTGTTTATGCTGAAAAAAGTCAAAAAGAGGCAAATTGGCCTCAATGAATTATGCACAAAGTATTGAATAGATCTTACTTAATATGATTATCAGCCCAACCGGGGGATCAACCCTTTCTTCTGATTTTCATCATCTATGGATCAGTTTATAAAATGTTAGGCAAATCTGTTTTGGTTGTCATTAGATGTGGGTGTTGGTCTTACAGTGTCTCACCATTGTCCCGTTGCTTCGTGTTGTAACATGACCAGGCTTGTAAATTCTCCATCTTGATAGTTCTGACTGGGTGGAGGGTGATGCTGTATCAAAATGATGATTTTTTAATTCATACTACACTTGTTAATTTACAATTCCTTCAAACTTTCAGGTGAAATAAAATACTACATATGCAATGTAATGATACAATCTCTTTTGCAATAAGGAAGAGTTAATCTATACAGGCAGCTCTACTGTACATACATAGTACATATTGAGGATTTATGAATAACTCAAAAAAAGCTACCAACAACAGGCACATGAATCTTTACAGTCACATGACCTCAAATCAGATGCCAGTTTGACCTGCATCGCTCACCTGGTATAAATCTCACACTTGATACCTTGAAATAATTAATAAAGCTCTTGGCAAAATATCAGTATCTATGACTCTAAGTCATTCAAAAGAACCAGATAAAACAGTTGAACACATTTGACCCTGGCTAAATATTATCACATTTGACTTCAGTGATCTTTCAAGTGGCCAAGGTCATTAAATTGAACAAATCTGGTAGCCCTTCATCCCCGCATGCTACTGGCCAAGGTCATTAAATTGAACAAATCTGGTCGCCATTCATCCCCACATGCTACTGGCCAAGGTCATTAAATTGAACAAATCTGGTAGCCCTTCATCCCCGCATGCTACTGGCCAAGGTCATTAAATTGAACAAATCTGGTAGCACTTCATCCCCGCATGCTACTGGCCAAATATCGTCACCCAGGTCATTTTGGTTATTCAGAAGAAATTGCTTACCCAGTAAATATTTTCACATATTTTACCCCAGTAACCTTGAATGTGGGTGAAGGTCATTCATTTGAACACACTTGGTTGCCCTTCATCATTGCTTCTACTGGCAAATATAATTTCCCTAGGTCTTTTGGTTGTGCAGAAAAAGTTGTTTGAAGGTTCTTAAAGGAAATAAACCCTGTGACCTTGAATATTGGTGAAGGTCATTCATTAGAACAAACTTGGGTAGTAGAATACAGTAGAAATGGCCTGATCCTAAAAATAAAGGGCATGTCTCAGGTAAACATGGATAAGTGGCTTCATCCTGCAGAACACACCTACATATATATTTATAAAGCACATTTTGAATACATTTTTTAGAAGAATGATTTTTTATTTAAGAAGATGAAAAGCTAGCTTTTGTTTTGTAAACACAGATTTGCAGATAGCCAAAACTGTAGTCTCAAACCAAATTCAATTTATTCATTTTTTGAAAAAGTATGAAGCCCACATCATATATATGCCAGTTTTAGTGCTGATTTCATTTTTTAATTTTGATACATGCAATATTACAGGAGTTATTCATTGTAAAAAAATATCACCCATGGCCACCGTACGCTACTGTACACTACTAACTTGGTAACCCTTCATTAATGCATGCTTCTGGCTAGATATCATCACCCTTGGCATTTTGGTTATTCAGAAAAAATTGTTTGAATATTATGTTTAAACTTTTGACCCCAGTGACTATGGAAGTGGGTCTAGGTCATTGATTTGAACAAAATTGGTCGCCCTTTATCCAAGCATGTTACTAGCCCAGCATCACCCTAGGTATATCCATTATTGAAAAGAAATTGTTTAAAGAAAGAGGCCAAGAGGGTCTGTGTTGCTCACCTGGAAATGTTAGCAAAATGGAAGTTGAAATAGCCAGTTGTTGCTGGTAGTGTACATGTATTACATGGTTAGTCAGAGGTTATATTTATATACAATTGCACAAATTCCTGTCATTCCTACAGGAAAATGAGGATTTAGAAGAATTTGCTATGTTTCCCATATTGGGCCCCGCCCCTCTGCCCCAAATGGGGTCAGACCCATCATTTATACAAAATTAAGTCCCCTTGACTTCACCCAAGGATGCTTTAGACCAAATAGGGACAAAATCCAGACCAAATTGGAATGAAATTCCTTAATCCCTATGGTAGAAGAAGGATTTTAAAGGTTTTACCTCTATTTCCCTTATTGGGCCCCACCCCTCTGCCCTCAGGGGGGCCACACCCAGCATTTATACAAAATTTAGTCACCTTGGCCTAAGAAAACTTCAGACCAAATTTATTCAAAATCTACTGGGCCGTTCAGGGCTAGTAGTGTTTTAAAGGAAAAGTTGACGGACAGACGGACGATCGAAGACGGATGCTGCGGTATGGCATAAGCTCACCATGGTCTTTCTGACCATGTGAGCTAAAAAGTTGAAGCCAGACGGAAGACAACAGACAGTGCACCACGACATAACTTGACTATATGGCCCTTCGGGTCAGGTGAGTATAATGTTTAATGATGCCTAAAAACTTGTCAGAGACTTATCTTATTCATTTCACATCTGTTACCTCCCAGGGGGATCAATGTAACATTTATTTCAATAGGGTATATAATCATTCCTCAACTCATCATGGATTTCTATTAGAACTTTTATTACTCTGCACCTCATGAATCTTCATTGGAAAATTCTAATTAGTTTACTATGTGGACCTCAAAACTGGTCAAGGTCATTGATTCAGATTTTCACTCTTCATAGCACTTTCCACCAATACTTAGCTACAGTTCAAACATTATGATACAAGTCCCCTTTGTTATTTAGAGAGAGAAAAAAATGATTTTTTTAATCATTTGACTCATGTGACCATAAAGTAGACTGTGGTGGTCATTTATTTGGTCAAATTAAATTTGTTTGTCCTTTATCCCAGAAATATTTACTTAATATCATCATCCTAGATCTCCAGGTTACTTAGAAGAAGTTTAAAGTTGTCTTTTTACAAATTTGAATCCTGTGACCTCAAAAGTAGTTCAAGGTCATTCATTCGGAAAAAAATCTGAGCATGCTAGCCATATATTATCATTCTAGGCCTTTTGGTTTAATATTAATCAGAACTCCACAACAGGTTTGTTCAAATTTGATCCCTTTGGTCTTGAAAGTTGAACCAGGTCATTTATTTGAACATTCTTGATAGACTTCTATCCCAGCATGCTAATAGACAAATACCATAACCCTGCATGGTTATTCAAAAGAAGTAATTTAACTCATTCACCCCTAAAATTTCATAATGAACTATGGCAACCTTTGAAATGAAAGAGTTCAAATGGGTCTTCAGGGGTGAATGAGTTAAGGTTAATGTTAATATGGGATGGATGTTGCATCACACCATGAGCTCGTTTGGCACTTCAAGCAAGATAAAAACTTACCAGCGGCTTTGTGAAAGCTACTACATATCACCTTCTGAGTGGCCTTACACCTACATGGTTGTCGGCTTAAGGATGACCACCAAGTAATAAAGTATCGGTTCAGTACCTCAGCAGAATAGAGCTGACCAGTTACATTGAAACGTCCAACACCGGAAAAATTCATACCTATGAAAAAACGTATATTATGTTCAGACACGGAAAACTTAAAAAATTGTCTGCAAAAGAATGTTTTTCTATTTTGTGCACATGAAAAGCTGATGGACGATCCATCTTAAACATTGTATAGGATATACAGACACAAGGAAACTCTGTAACAATAAAGGTAAACATTGTATAGGATATACAGACACAAGAAAACTCTGTAACAATATATGTAAACATTGTATAGGATATACAGACACAAGAAAACTCTGCAACAATATAGGTAAACATTGTATAGGATATACAGACACAAGAAAACTGTAACAATATAGGTAAACATTGTATAGGATATAGACACAAGAACTGCACTCATATCTATGAGATCTGCCGCAGTAAATGGAAGAAGAAGAAAACTCTGTAACAACATATGTAAACATTATATAGGATATACAGACACAAGAAAACTCTGTAACAATAAAGGTAAACATTGTATAGGATATACAGACACAAGAAAACTCTGTAACAATATAGGTAAACATTGTATAGGATACAATATATGTAAACAATTTGTAAGATCTACAGGCACAGGAAAACATCAGATCAATGCCAGTAAAACTAGATTTTACTCGAAGCATGGGCTTCAAAAATACCTCTCCCCAATTACTCGAAAGTTTGGAGATCATTGATGAATCAGTGGCTGAGATGTGCTGCAGAAACTAGAATTATACAGAATTACACCATTAGTTGAGCACTTGAAGAGGATTCAAAGTTGGTGGTTTGTATGCAGTTGATCGTTTCCAAATCCATGAAACAGCTTTTCTGCCGTTATCAGTGTATGACACGTCATCAATTTCTGAATCGGATCACGATCATCATGCCCCATTGGAAACCCTGTAACCCTAGTCAAAACTGCATCACCAAAAGTTGCAACATCAACGATGTCTACCAATCCATCCAAACATTCGTCACCAACGAGTCAATCAGTGCATGTCCCTGTATCCCTGGAAACAGCTGCTGCCGAAAATAATGCTGACAGTGGAGTGAGATGTCCAGATGAGGATGTAGTACCCCTGTTACAGGCACTTGTAAATGACACTTTTGCTGTCCAGGAACAAAGCGAAAAGGAAAATCTAAATATGTCGACCACTTTGTACAACCAAATTGAAAACATATTTAAAATGCCTACACCTGTAAAAAATAGTTAACGCAAAAAAGACTGTCACAAGCCATCGGTTACTTACAAACAACGAAATTATCATATAACAGCTGGCAGAACAACTGAAAGAAGAAAAACTTCAGGCACAGGAAATGACACAACAAAAGCGAAATCTGAATAAAAAGTCAAAAGAAGAGGAGAAAACGACAAAGAAACGCTGTTTAAAGAAAGAAAATTTGTGTTGGAGAAGACTTTAATTTGCTTGGGGGAGTACTGTACAGGATATAATTATGAACTGAACTGGGCAATCTGTACTTTGTGTAAAAGTGGATGCATTTAGAATGTATGCCACTTCATACGAAATAAAAGTACTGTTGAAATGTCATCTGTGTGACTAAAGATACAAATTATAAACGCATTATCGTGTCAGGAATACACAGGTTGAACAGATTTTGAGGATTTTTAATTTAGACAAGAAACCCCAGATGGATCTTGGCGCCCACCATTGTACCATCTTCATTAGCTCTTTGTCAGTTCAATCTTTTTTCTTCTTTCCTCTAATCTGTTTGATCGAGTCATGTTAACAGTAAATGCACCTTGAGGTAACTTTTGATCTAAACTTAATACTGATGTGTATGAAAGCCAACCTTCAAAGTGAGTTTGTCATTTCACATATTTACTAGTACAGTACTTAATGTGAAAGAAATAGAATCAATCATTGCAATATGAGAAAGATCTGTCTAGTTCTTCCTTTAGCCATTTTGTTTTTATGATCAGTCTCAAAATATAACATGCACAACGAGGGATCAAGGGGAACCTTCATATCAGATTTGAGAAATGATCCGTCAAGTTATTCCTGAGAAATAGTACTGACAAACCTTCAATGTCAAAAATTGAAGATGGCTGTTGGTAGGCCATTTTGTTTAACTGATCAGTTTCAAAAGTAAACATGAACAATAAAGGATAGTGGGTAACCTGCATTGGCTGGCTCAAAATATTTTTTTGGGACGAGTAAAAAATTTGAAGCACTGGCCCAAATGACATATTGGTGGCCCAAATAATTTTGGGAAGAAATATTTCCACAGCAACACAATGCTCCAGCACATTTAAATTACATATAACATGACAATGTTTGTAATATGTAAAACTGAATAAAACATTATATGTTTAATTCTTCAACTCCGTTTCCGAAAGAAATACACAAAACTCGCAACTCAAAGAAGACACCCTGGCTGCATTTTACATAGAATATCTTAAAAAAAAATCATTACATTTTTTAAATCACGGACAGTTCAATTCCAATCAAAGTAATGACAACTGAAAAATATACTGCCCCCCAGTTAATGTGGAAGGAACTATAATTTCTTTTATTCATAAATTTTTCAACAGTCACCCAAACTATTTTTGTTGGGCCAGTGACTCCCTCACTTTTGACAACTTTTGGTCATCCATTTCAGGCACTGCTGCACAACAAGGGAACAAGGGGAACCTACATATAAAATTTAAGAAAGATCCCTCTCATTCTTCTTGAGAAATAGTGATAACAAACTTTCACTATCAAAATCCATGATGGCTGCCTGTCGGCCATGTTGTTTATCCGATCAGTCTAAAAAGTTTCCCTGCACAGCTAAGGACCAAGGAGAACCTACATAAAAATTTGAGAAAGATCCCTCCCGTTCTTCTTGAGAAATAGTGATAACAAACTTTCACTATCAAAATCCATGATGGCTGCCTGTCGGCCATGTTGTTTATCCGATCAGTCTCAAAAGTTTCCCTGCACAGCTTAGGACCAAGGGGAACCTACATATAAAATTTGAGAAAGATCCCTCTGGTACTTCTTGAGAAATACTGATAACAAGAATTGCTTAAGGACGGACAACGGACGACGGACCACGGATGCAGGATGATTTGAATATCATCTGATGGGCTAAAAAGTAAATATGCATACAAATCTTATTCAAAAAGATTAAGCAAGTTACCTTCTATTGAAATACTTGCATATATCTTTATCTAAATACTTGCATATTTGTATGGAAATACTTGCATATTTGTCAGAATATAAGCCTAAAGTCGCTAATAGATTGAGTTTTTTAAATGTAAATGTTGTGATATGATGTTTAAACAAAGTTGATTAATTTGATTTTTATCAACCTTATTGTCATTGCTGGACCTGGTTTTAATTGTAAATGAAATCTTGTATTCTATATTTGGTTATTTTACATAGAAACATCTCAATTATCATTGTCATAGGTAAAACAATCGAAAGTATCCTAACTGTGCACGCATTATCTACTGGGGGATTTAAAATCGTGTTGTTGAACTGATGTGGAAATTGAAAGAATCAATTAAAATCTGGAGTCCTTTTCTTTTGTTATGTTGACCAATTTTTCAGGGAGTTTAATTTAACTTATTACTCTTACCTTATAATGTTACATGATTTACAATCTGGTGATTTATTTCCTGTCTGCCTATGTGGCCTGATTAGCTCCCTTGCTCTATGTGATTATACGACGCCTGGTGGAACTTTTGTTGCGCATGCGTCATTAACTCTATCTTTTTGAAAATGTAACCCATCGTGGGTAAAAGGTAGGTGAAATAGTATGTCTTGATTATTCAACTCTGTGATATAGTATGTGCATGTGTTCGATCTGTAAGACTACATAAATGTAAGATGGTCTCCCGATCCCGGACTTTCGGAGTTTGAAGTAATTTCATATCTGATGCGAATTTAAAACCTAGAGGTCCCGATATTTAAAGGCTGATTCACACTTGCAATACCAACATGAATCAAAATTTAAAAGAAGTTTGATATGACACATATTTGAAGCACAATGCTTATTAGGTTGCCCAGGCAAAACAGAGAGTGAAACTCCTTTGCACATGTGTGTATAAACTCGCTGTAACCCTGCTATCATAAACTGGGTCACGCACCCGTCAGCAAGATACACGCCTCTGTTTAGCAACTGCATTTGTAACCATGTGTTATAATGCACACAAAGAAGGTAGACTTTCTTTCTGTGTTCTTATTTATGAAAGACCTGATAGAAGGGAGTTGGAGGTACTGCTATAAGGTCGTTTTATTACGATAATAAAAAAATAATCAATATATATTTGTCTATTTATCTATTTTAAATACGTTTTTGTAAGAATAAATGATTTGGATAATATCTGACCAGTGATCATTGTAATTAATTTATATAATAATAATAATAATAATAACATAATTTATATCTTTTGCAGATGCTGTGCAACTGCCAATTGTATGTAGGTGCTGCATTCCAAGAGTTAGATATCCCAAAACGGTTTGGAAAAAAACCCTGATGTATACCCCGGATAAACATGATGGAGATGGGCGACAAGCTGCTGATTAGGTTGTTTAGAGAAATAAAATGTTACTCAAAACAGTGTGCTGCTGTCTGTTTCTTTGTTATTTTATGTTACCAGTTGCCCGAATTTCCTCTCGCCCTGACATCGGACTAAGCATTTGACAGATAAATGTCCCTTACCAGACGTCTACTTACCTGTCAAAATGTCTAAGTCTGGTGTAGGGGCCAGAAGAAACTCGGGCAATGCTACCAGTTGAATGGTCCGAAAGAAGGTTGAATGCTAATGTACAATTCAACTTTTAATCAATGAAGAAAATAGACGTTTATTCAACGTCGAGCTTCAACGTCTATTCAACGTCAAGCTTCAACGTTTATTCAACGTCGAGCTTCAACGTTTATTCAATGTCGAGCTTCAACGACAAGGATCAACGTCAAATTTTGGTACGTTGTTTCAACTTTCACAATCAAATATAAATTAAACATTTAAACAAAGTTGAGACTGCTGGGTGTTTTCATAGGTTAATAAAAAGATTTATTTTTTA